TGCGCTTCTTCTTGCCATAGCTGTTGCGATCTCTCAGAAACCTCGTCAAGAGGTTGCGTGAACGTCCACTGTGCCGTTTGATATCGTCGATTGATCAATCCTGTCAGCTTCAGATGGTCCAATTTGCAGGTCATTTCGATGAGTTATCCGAAATGTCCTATATGTGATTCCACCACTGTATGTTGCCCAACGGCGTCGAGGACGACCAATCCGTAGTTTATACAGCGAATTTCAATTTTCAACTTCATGTCATTTTACCTATTACAACTCGAAAAATTGTCGATGATACATGTCGTTCGATGTCGCCGACATCTTGTTGAGCGTCAGTTGGGTTTCACAGCGACATAATAGACCTCAAAACGTGTTTCTTTGCATTTCAGTAAAAACTCCCTGTCAACTGATATCTCGGCATGTATTTTGGAAATAAGTCGAACTTCGTGCAAGTATCGACATACAAGGCAATAACTTGATCTACCATTTGGATCTCGTCCTCTCGGCATGTTGTTCATGGCAGTGACGAAAGCCAAGTCTTTACGAAGTACATTTGTGGAATAGGCTATGAACAAGTTATGTCAAAGGAACCTCATTTGCAATTGAAACTCCTCGAACCCACCCAAAATGCCCCGCGAAACCCCCACGCAACAAAACCAACGCCGTGATATGCAGCTCGTGAGTTAAGCCACACTCGCTGTCGTAAAACGCAATGCAAAACGCCAGAACGAACGTGATCGCCACTCGTCAGCCCCACGCGATGATGCAGACGATGGTGATTCAATTCATCCCGTCTTCGACAATTTTGCGGCATTCGACAGTATTCACTCCATGACGAATTTTTCTCAAGACGAATTTGAATCGCTCTGGTTCGCCATCAAACCAAGCATTCTTGGTACATGGAACGTCGGCAAGGGACGCAAATGTCCCTACTCTGGTAAAGACATGCTCTTTATGCTGCACACTGTCGTGAAGTCTTTGAGGAACTTGGGAGTTCCTGGCTGCCCTGTTTGGACTTCAAGCTTCATCATTTGAAAAAATGGTCACTAAGTTTTTGCTGAAAATTCGCGACCAAGTCTACGAAACTTTTGTTCAAGATGAAGCCAAGCTGCTTACAATGAGCAATCTTGTTGCCACTGGGAAGAATTTCCAAAGCTTTCCTGCTGCATTGTACCCTGCCGACGCCACAATCCAGCAGAGCAACAGGCCCATGGGAAACTACAATGAGTCCATGTACACACTTTATGGCAAAAAGGTGAAGGTCTCTGTCAGTCCATCGGGCTATGCTTTGAACGTCAGTCATCATGTGCCAGGCTCTTTCCACGACAAAACCCTCTTTTACCAGTGCAATGGATTTCACGGTTCATTCCGTGGCAAAAATCCTTCGGAGCTCCAATTGGACGACACTTGTCCCTTGTTTGACACTTTTCCCGACGTGTGGGCCTTTTTAGCCGACAGTGGTTATCAAGGAGCACAGCATTCTTTTCGTGCCATTATTCCTGCACGTGCATATGCCGGAAATCGTTTGTTGCTCTGAAGTCTTCCATCGAATTGTTTCAATTGAATCATCGTCCACATCATGTCAAAGTTGTTGTTTCGTGCTTGCGATTTGATTTGGGAAGTATACGAGTTATTGCGCAGGAACTGAATCTCATGGCTTGCATCGAGCGAAAAGCACTTGAGATCTAATGAAGCTCTCAATCCCTGTCCTCAAACAGTTTTCAGCCAATCCTCTTTCAACCTCATATCCACTCTCCAACCTGCATTTTTCGTGTCCGTGTCGGTGTACCAACGACATTGCGACCACAGGCACGCGCATCACCACTCTGTGGCGGAAGGATGCGTGCTCATTTGTGAAAGCTTCACGTGTTTTATGTCGAGTCCATGCTCCACGTATGCTGCTGAGTCGTTCGTTTCATTTCACAAAACCATTCATTTTCGTGGGTGACCCTGCACTTATCGCCAGTGCTGTCGAGACATGCTTGTTGGTGTTGGATGCAGGAACATCCTTCCTATCACCAAAAACAAGTTCAAACGGATGGAGTATATGCGTCGACAGGAATGAGTGATATTTGGATGTCATGAAGCCAAGCTGTAACTGGACACTGTTTGGACCTTGCCTGGTGTACCTTTTGTCAGGGTTGCCTGAGCGACAAGGTCGTTCGAAAGAGACATTGAAGCAAACGCCATAGCAACTTGCGGGCACCGTGACGTCCCCCACCAAGAGCCGCCCCAGACGGCACCACCGGCAGCACATTCGTTCAGCCTCATGCATTCTACTGCACTCTTTACGACTCACACATCCCCTTCCACTGCCCTGTGGTTGGCCCGAGAGCTCATAAAAGGTGCTCTGGGCACACACAGAGTCTCCTTAAATCAGCCGCATTTTATGGCATCTCCACCACCAATCAAGGCGTCAGGATAGCCGAGTTGTTAGGCCATGGCGCCGACGGCATTCTTGGGCTCGCAGCGGTCGACCAGCTGCGACGGCTCCCTTACCGTTCGCCAGACGCTGTGTCACTTGGGAATATTGAATTCATGTGGTAATGATAGACTCGAATAAGGGAATTCGTCGATCGGAAGTTGGAGCACACCATTTTGGCTTGTGTTGACCCTGCAGCATGCCGACTCCATCGGAAACCAAGCCGCTTCTCTACACAGAGTTCCCACCGCTCCATGACGACGAAGCGGTCGCGCCACAGGAGGGCACGGTCGTGACGTCCTACCTGGGTTTAATGAGCACGATGGCGGGAGCATGCATCCTGACTCTTCCCAGTACGATGCAAATGACGCCGGTCTTGCCGTCGTCGGTGCTCTTGGTCACGTTTGCTCTTCTCGCGTACGCAGGATGCGTGTGCATCTGCATTGCGTGCGACGGCAGCGGTGCGACGTCCTTTGAATCCCTTGCCAAGCGTCTGCGTCATCCGTTCCAACTGTGGATCGTGCGTGGGCTCGTCATGATGCTCCTCTTTGGCGCAGTTGTTATGTACGTTGTGATTGCAACCGACATGCTGCAGCCGTTCCTTCCTTTCCTCTCGCGCTTTGTCCTCGGTGGCCTCTTTGCCGGCATTTGTCTCCCGCTCTGTCTTCCCGACACCGTCGCCGCTCTCAAGTATACCAACTCGGTCGTAGTCTGCTGCGTGCTCTACATTGTCGTCGTCCTTTTGCTCCAAGCAGTGTCCCAGGAGAACCCGTGGCCGGCCGAACCCGTGTCGCCCATTACGTTTCGTGGCGTCGCGTACACCGTGCCGATTCAAGCACTGAGTTACTGCATGCACCTCAACATCCCGCAAGTTTACAGCGAGCTGCAGCACAAGCCATCCATGACCAAAGTGTTTGCCCTCCTCTTCGGTTCGGGCGTCGCGCTATACTTGACCGCGGCGCTGGCTGGTTATGCTTGCTTCCACGGGTACACATGCTGTTTGACCGTTGTCCATCGATCGAGTTGACCAAGTCCGATGGCAGGTTTCCCCCGGCCGATATCTTGACAGGGTTTGCCGCCGACAACCCGACCATCAACGGCGTTCGGATCGCACTGGGTCTCTGCATGATCTGCAAAACTCCCATCACGTACCAGCCCCTGCGCGATGTCATGGAGGACATGGCGGATGGCATGTTTCCGAAGATGCCGTTCCGCATCGCGGCGACGTCGGTAGGGCATCACATGTGTGCTCGTTTCACCTTTGCAAGAGATGGCGTGTGGTTGAATGATGCCTTGTTGGAACGCTGTGTTGTGCGCGAAAGGATGCAAGGGTTTGTCCCGGTTGCGTCGGATGGCTTGGCTCTGGAATCGAATCAACTGCGTGCCGTTGTGAGTTGTCATGGCTCACTGGTTCCTTTCACTAGTCGTTCCTGATTGCGACGTGGGTTCTGGCCGTGACTGCCAACGACCTGGGATACGTCATGGACTGGGTCGGTGCGACGGCGGGGATTTTGCTCTCGTTTGGGTTTCCAGGCTTGTTTTTGTGGGAAATGCTCGAACAAGACTACCACCAGCAAGAGTACACGCCGACGCAGATCCGATGGTACAAAGTGCTCGCTGCCTTTATGATCTTCACGGGAGTCTCGCTCTCCACCATCTCGATCATCAAGATGGTTTGGTTTTACTAGACAGCTAGCCCTCTTCGATACGAAATGTAGTCATGCCATTCCCATGTGCGCTGGCGACTGAATACGTCGTTTCTCTTGTTGGGTCGTGCGATGTACACCATTCGGGAATAGCACCTTGCGAGCTCGTCTCCACAAAAAGCAACAAGCATCTCTGGCTTCGCCCGGGATAACGCACTGCATACACCTCTACCTCGTTGTCCACTCGTGGCTGCAAAGTGCTTTCTGATCGAAGCACATCGTTGGTGGCGTTCCGGGCTCAACTCGAGGCGAAACGGCAGGCCGTTCCAATGCTTTTGTTCTTGAGCACACACCGAGTCATCATCCCCTGCCAGATAGATGCCGTCGCCGCTTCGTCAGATCTCGGCAGCGTTTTCACTGTCTCCCGTGAACGAAGCATCGACTCTGTTGCCAAAGTCCCATGCCGGCCATGTCTTGGACGTCCATGGAACAGCGTTCTCGACCTTCACCGGGACGTTGTGCGCCATGGTCGGGGCTGGCATCTTGACCTATCCAAGCACAGTGGCTTCCGTGCCGATCCTGCTATGGGTGGCCCTCCTCGTTGTCACAGTGGTGTTGGCGCATGCGGCGCTCACATGTTTGACTGTTGCGTGCGACGTCACGGGCGAGTACTCTTACGAAGGGCTCGTCCAAGTGCTGTGCGGCGGTTGGATGGCTGCCGTGCTGCGCGGCTTGACATTGTTGACGTTGTTCGGGGCGACTGTGCTCTTCATGGTGCTGGCAGTCGACCTGCTGACTCCGCTGAAGGCCCTTGCTATCGTGGGGCCATCGACAATTGCATCGGTCTTTGCCCTCGCCTCGATTCCGCTGTGCTTGGCGAAAACACTGCATGCGCTTCGATACACCAACGCAGTCGTCGTCTTTGCAGCGTTTTACATTGCCGGAGTCCTCGCTTGGTATGTCGTCCAGCGGTGGCTAACAGCGCGGACGGCTAGCTCCACTTCCACGACAGTCGTCCTTCTTCCTCGATCGAAAAACAACACGTGGGTGAGTTGGGCCACATTCGATGGTGTCGCGTACACAGTTCCGCTCCTCATGCTCGGCTTCTCATGTCCGTTCAATTTCGTGCGGTCCTACGGCGAGCTCGTCGACAAATCAAGCATCGGCCGCATTCAGCACTCGCTGCTCTTTACAGGATTTGCGCTCTACATGGTCGCGTCGCTCGCTGGGTTCTCGTATTTTGACGGCGCGCCCCCGCAAGATATCGTCATGGGGCTCCACGACGACTGGAACGTCACCGGCATTCGAATCGCGCTGTCGATGTGTATGTTGTTCAAAGTTCCGATGACGTACCAACCTTTCTTTGAGACACTCCAACTCACGATTCCAGCTCTCTTGGCAGCGCCACGCATGCGGCTCATCGTGGCACTGGTAGGTTGGGCCTTGACTGGAGCACTACCATGACATCATCGTGTGCGCCGTGCCGAGTAGGTGTATGTGTTTTCGGCGTGGGTGATCGCGTTGACGGCTCCGACACTGAGCAACTTGTTTCGAGCGATGGGCACACTCGGCGGCATCGGGCTCTCGTACCTGGTCCCAGGCTTTTTTCTATGGAGTGTGACGCAGCGGTCGCTCTGGCTTCCCCACCGACAGTACTATCAAGCCATGGCTTGCATGACGATGGGGGCAGCGGGGCTGCTCTTGGTCTGGTGTACGCTTCCTCTCTCGTTTGGTCGGTCCGTGGACTTTGACGGCTCAATGTAATGCGAATATGGATTATCCAGGCACAGATCGCCCAGCGCAGTTTGAATTTGTTGTGATAACCAGCGCATCTCTGCGCGATCAAGGGCACGTTTTATCGACGCCAAGATGGTCGGGGCTTGATTTCGTCGCTTGATTCCATGGGGCGGGGTGTCGAGATGTATATACTCATGGCGTTGCGATGTAACGCTGGCTGGCGTCATGGACCGAGTGCTCCTAGGTTGCGTCCTCCTTGGTTAGGCTGACGTTGAGCGAGCAGAGCCTCGAAAAATAGCTTCATCATTGTGGCAGTATTGCGCCGATACATCCCATTCACAGGGCACTCCACTGAGCGATTCAACTCATGGACCCTTTCTGTTGCGATTACCGCAGCCAGAGCCGCTTATGGTGCTGATACTGGGCTTCTTTGAGCACGGATCCTGCAATCTCGATGGCATGTTTCCGTTCGCGTTCGATCTCGAGAGAGAGCGCCAACGGCAGCGGCGTTTTGAGGACGCTAGCGCTCTTGGGTCGAGGTCGTCGAGGAATCGACGAGGCGTCACTGCTTGAGAGTGACGACAGCGTCGGCCCTGCCGAGTCGACCAGAGTCGTCCATTGCTCCAACGTCATCGTTGGTGGAGCGACCTTTCTGAAGTCGACTCGCCCTTCGTCCCCTTGCGGTTGCTCGGGAACTTGATCGGGCTGCTGGGGAAGTTGTTGACGGCAATAAACACGTGGCGTCGTGATGGGGAGAACGGGTGCTTGCCGCGTGAATACTCGTTGGTAGAGTGCGGTGTGGGACCGCAGTCTGTGATGGTCGAGTTGGTGCACGGACGACTCGAGTTTGTCGTTTGCTGCATTGGCAACTTTCTCAACAACTTGCTTGGCAAGTCGACCAACAAACGTTATCGCGATGGCTCGTTGGACACTTGTTTTCGACCGCCGCGGATCGAGAGTTGGATGCACAACCAGTCGTGGGGGCACATCGGGGGGCCGTCGATCTGCAAGTCGCGCCGTCTGTGGTCGGGGGGGCTTGGCATTCTTGTGGTGATTCTTTCGTAAATAAGGGTGGGGTATGTGGGCCGCCGCGACTAAGACCGGGGCTCGATGGGCTGGGGCTGGTTGGTTTTCATCGGATTTTCTGGCGCGAGGATGGGCCTGGCGAGTACTGTTTAGACGTGCCATTCGCAAGGGCTTTGTTGCCTACCGATTGAGGCCGCACGCGCTGCATGCGCTTGTGAAAGGCATGGAGTGTTGGGGGCGGGTCAGGTTGTGTTTGCTCATCTGTCTGAGTGGGTTTGGTGGAGCGGGGAGTTGCGCTCTGCGGTCGCTTGTGTCTTCGCAAGGCGGCGTCTGGGGCCACCGGTTTCCGTGGGATCGATGGAGATCCAATGTCGATTTGATTGCTCGATCGCCGTGACATGCTCCGGGGGCTACCCTGCGCCGTCGTGCGCTTCATCGGGTGATTTCGTTTCGTGAGCACTGTTGTGTGGCTCCACCCGCACTGCACTTGCACCGCCCCAAACCCAGCGAGGGCCGTGACTTGACAAGGCGAGAGATGGACCGACCCATCGCTTTCCATTCCGAGACCTCCATTGATGTCGTAGCCCCATGTCCAAACATCTCCACGCGCGTTGATAGCAGCCGAGTGGAAGTGCCCCAGGCTCACCTACAGCCAATGCATCATTCAGTTGGAAAATGCGTCGGGAGGTCGACAACGTGCCTCCAAGACGGGCGATTTTGTGGGAAATGTAACCAAAGCGGGTGAGAGCCGCTGGCGTACATCGCCCACACCGAGCTGCCCGAAATCGTTGGCGCCCCAAGTGTACAGTTGGTCGGTGTCGCTAATCAGCGCCGAGTGGCGGCCGCCGCATCGCACCATCTAGAGTCCGTACGCGTCATGGCATTGTGGCCACGGCGTACGAGAATATACCTTGGGCAAAATCTTGAGCAGCTGGACGGCGACGACCAGCGTTGGGGTGCTGTACGTGACCGATGAGTTGTGGCCGAGCCGGCCGTCAACCCCGCATCCCCACGTGAACAGATCGCCTTGGATCATGTACTCATAAGCCGTGGTGCATCTCTCAGAGGAAACTACCATGGGTTGAGATGCAAGCGCTATGGTGCACGCCTGCTGCCACTTGGTGAATTGCGTAGTTCAATAGCCCATCCACCCGACACGGGACACAGCTCCGCCAGCCTAGACGAACCACCGTCAGAAGGACATATTGAAGCGCGGCGACGTACCATGGTCCGTGCGCGACTGGCGGTGACCAAATCCGAGCTGGCCAGCTTTGTTGTGACCAAAAGCTAGCACGTGTTGGACGTCTGTGATGGCGAGGGTATGGAACCCTCCGCACGCAACCGAAGTCACAATCGTTCCTTCTAAGAGCATGCTGGTGCAGACGGCGGAGTTTGGAGCGTCCTGCTTGTCGAATTGCACTGGCTTGGGCGAGTTAATGTCCAGGTAGTTGCAATGCCCCAGCTGGCCAAAGCGACCACTGCCCCACGTGAAGAGCTGCCCTGCGCGGGTCGCGACCTGAATGATGGGAATGTCCGTGAACGAAGCGCTCATGCCAGAGGTCGACGATGTAATCTCTTTACCGCAACGTGGTGCTTCCCACAGCTGAGCGACACAATCGCAGGTCGTTCTTGGGGGGTGGCAAACAGTTGGGACGGCAGTCGACACGGCGTTTTGCTACTGAAGCTCGCGTGGTTGCCCAATTCGCCATCCGTGCCTTGACCAAACGCAAAGGCCAAGCACGACTGGGAGCTTGCGACGACAGTGAAGTTTTCGCCGCACGCGAGCGAGCTGAAGTAGACATCTCGCGGAGCTTGGGGTGGAGCGTTGCCGACGGGCGACGTGGGGTTTGCGTCTGGATGGCTAGTCGGTGATGGCAAAATCTCCTTCATCCCTGGAATCAACAACGGTCGTCGCCGTGCAAATGTGTTGGTCGTCACGTCCTGGAGAATCGCATCACCCCCAAACGACCACACGAAAGCAGCTTCGTTCCCGAACACTTTCACATGAATCGGCGGCACATCCAGCTGATCGAAGCGCTCATCTTGGCTGAACACGCGGTGTTGGATGCATATATCGTCGTCCCGGGTCACGTCCACAGCCTGCACCCCGACGGCTACAAGGAGTCCACCGCGTCAGAGTATGCACGTGCTGCATGGACGGGTGGTAACGACGAACCCTGGGGTAATCCGTACGTGGTTGGAGTAAAGCAAATTCGAGACGCCGACAGACGCACTGATCGCGTTCGGTCGTTCTGGACGAGCAAGTGGATGACTACGGTGGATTCGCATGGAACAGCCAGCCAGATCGAGTAGAATCCCATCGTGCCTCCGTAGATGGCATGGATATGGGTCTTCGAGACATGGATGAGGGTCGGACCGTCGTCGGGTGTGTCTATGGAAGGGACTGGTGACGATGGATTGTCGGTAACGTAAATCGGCTTCTTGCGTTTCAGTGTTGGGGTCCCTCCACGCCGAGTGGGAGACGATGGAGTTGGACATGTGACGTCGTCGAGGGGTCTGTTGACCGCCTGGAGGTTGGCGGACGCTTGCAGCAAGCGCGAATTCACGCGAACCCTTGGCGGCGGTGGGTGAGGTCCGGAAGAGTCCATTACCGCACCAGCATGACGACGGAACGATGATGATGGCGGTTTCATTCGCCACGACAGTTTCATTTATTTTCTGCCAATTAAAGTAGAATATGATCAATATTGCATTTAATTGGTCAAGAATTCAGATATTTCAGCCAATGTAAATCGCAAAATAGCACGAATCAAAATCAATTGGGAGAAGCTAGAAAAAAATTATGTCGTTCTTACTATTCATTGGTCCAATTGTCCCGTGATTCATATTTAGCAGTGTTTGATTGGTAATATTGTGGCGAATCAACCTGCTTCTAAGGAGGACTATCCATGCTGGTTGGTTGCTTCATGCATTTGTTTGATTGGTGGAATTCAAGTGTTATGCACACATCCGCGCCGCCACCGCCGCGACCGCATGAGTTCTACCTCATCGCGTCCAATATGATGGGACGCAAGAACTTGGGAACGTTTCTTCGGACAGGAAGTGCATTTGGCGTCAAGCAAGTTCTTGTGGGTGCGTTCCTTGTGCTGACGTTTCAAGCAGGTAGCGTGACGGGATATGTATGTAGTTGGGTCGGATCGATTCGGAACCCACGGCGGGCACAACGCGCACAAATACGTCGAAGTTCTCACATTCCATACTTGTGACGAAGTGTATGCGTACCTGAAGGCGCGCAACTGCCGCATCCTCGGCCTGCATTCGTCAACGACGTTGAAGAACATGGACACCTCCATGTGTACGCACATCTCATACTCTCCTGTAGATTATCGCTTTATCTGTAGGCTTGGACAAGGACGCGGAATTTGCCCCGTCAACTGCATTTGTTCTTGGCAACGAAGGCGGCGATCTTTCTCCGGAGCAGCGCGGTATCTGCGACGGGTTCATTCACCTCCCCCACTTCAAGCCACGTCGACAATCTCCATCCACTTCTTTGTTCGAAGTGGACTTGACTGTGCAATTGGGCATCCTCTTGCATCGCTTTACGACGTGGTCGGGGCAGTACACTGAGCGGGGCATTGAAGACACATCGACGAGGGGCAAGTTCGCCCTTGCTGAGCGAGCCCCTCGCCACCGAACAGAGCACCCAACCGTGACACTGGGCCGACAGGCCAAGAAGGAGGCTGTGGAAGCGATCATGGAGGACGACTTGGACCTGCAATTGTTTGGTGAATCCTAGTAGAAACCCATTGCCAGCAGAAAGGTGTTGGTAGATTTCATTCTAATGACGAGTTAAACACGAAATAACGGGGCGCATATATTGCTCCTGCATTCAGTGCGACTGGTGTCTGGGGCGTCCCAAGCGATCGGCCTGGTCGAGACCTTGGGGGGTTCAAGCCCATTTACGTCGCAGTTGCCGTCAGCGCATCCACCATGTCCTTGTTCGCGCCGGAGATTAGGGCTGCTACATCTCACGCCAGGGCCAAGGACTGCAACAAAATTACGTTCGCTGAGGACTTTGGATCGTTTTTGCAAGCAGTCGAGGACAATGGCTTGGGGAGACGCGGCCGTGCGGTGCTCCCTGCTTGCAACATCCCTGGGGTGCTTGGCAAGGGTGTCGACCGACCCGATCTACTCGGCCACAACCTCGGCAACTCCGGCAACTTGTCAGTGTCTATCCGATTGCGTCGTGCCAGGAAAAGATAACGTTGCATTCCATTCGTCCTTGCGTTCCCACATTTCAGCCAGGGTGACGGCAACCTCAACGACTGCGCTTACTCGACACTTTTCACGGCGACCAATCGACCTTTTTCCCTTTATAGTGAACCATAAATACGTCGTCCAACGACGTCATGTTGCCATTCGACCAATTGCGCCTGGGAGTTGCAGCTACGTGGTGTTCGTCCTTGTCGACCAAGTCTTACAGGGACGCAGGCCAAGGCGCTTTCGTAGGTGGAGCGACGCTACGTTGTATTCTTCGTCGTGTATACAATCTCTATCACCTGGTAGCCCCCGACTGGGTCCAGCGTGCGCATTCGTCCACCTCGTCTCGATGTTCGCGTCGAAGAAATGCAGAACGAATTCAACCGTGTCGACAAACTCTCCACCTCCCCTCGTGCTTCACTTGCCGTCATGGATATCGAAATTCTCTGTATTCTGTGCACATCGCATGGCGATGGCGCTTGGACTGACGTATCGGCCGCGGCGTTCGGGCGCTGCTTATAATCAACCTCTCGATTTTGAAGAGTATTTTCAATTCGTGCGCGACTTTAAAGCTACAATTGACCCAAAATATCTGAACTTTTACTCGTTTTTGACTGTATATTTTGCAAATATTGTAAACTTTTGTTTCAAGTTGCATGTCGTTGGCTTGAACGAGCTGGAGACAACAAGTACTAGCGCGCATGGTCAGGGGCCTCAGCCAACAAACTGTGGACTTTGCGGAGAAGACATCGATCGGATGCTTCGCTTGCACCATGAAGTATGTTCTTGGCCTCGCACTATGTTCTCCCTTTACGTTCACAGCACGGAAAGTGAATGGAGACGTAGTGTCCCACCCCAGTGCTTTGGTTCGGGATTTCGATCGTGTACTTGTGTCGTCCACGGTCGAAAGCCCGAATCAAAGCATTGGGGTGGGACTACAACGTCTCCATTCACTTTCCGTGCTTCAACGGATGGGCAAGCGATGGCTGTTGGAGCGCTCCTCCCACAGTACCTGCCGCGCTGTCGATCCCACGCGATGCCGATCCCGCCGCGGCTGCGACCTGTACAGTACGCTAGCATTACCATCGCGCGCTACGGCATATTGATGCCGCGGCCACGCCGCCACATCTTGGTCGAGATTCCACCGAGAAATCGCCCCTTGCTCGCCGAGAGGCCTGGGGATTTCGAATCTGGCTGTCCAATATTGCTATTACACTCTCTACAACCGACTCAAGAATTCGGACAATGGCTGCCGAATTTGATAATCTTTTGGCGGATTTTTGCCAAATCCTTGATGTTTCATTATCCGGAATATATCAGTACCGACGTTTCGATATTCGGATATCCGAGGAGGGATATGAAGCAATCTGATTGGACCATATCGATTCATTTCACCAATCAGAAGGAAGATCGATATCCGGATAATACATCCCCCTTGCGTTTGGGTGCAAATTTCCACTCGGAAATCCCATCGCCGGCAACGAATCTTGGAGCCTGCCGCTGTCCACGTCGAACATGAACGATGGCAAGACGTACGCGCCACCGTTGACGGGCCCTCCCAATGCCACGGTGGTTCAAAAGTCCACCTACACACCTCTCCTCGAGCGCAGTGACTCGACGGCGTCGACTGCCCAAGTGAACCAACGAGTCCTCGTGTCTGCGGTTGCCAACTTTAGCACTGCGGTAGGAACCTGTCATTGCGGAAGTTTACTGCAATGCTGATGCGCATGATTCAGTACAATCTAGCGATCATCGGAAGCGTCGTGCCTCTCGTCACCGAGACAAACCCGACATTGGACATGTCGTGCATTCCCGCCATCACGTCTTGCTCGCTCGTCGGCGCCATTGTTGGCCAGCTCATCTTTGGATATATTGGGGATGTTCTCGGCCGCAAGAAGGTAAATTGTTGCTTTCTTGATGGAGTGTCAATGGCATTGCGTACTACAGGGCATGATCTTAACGCTCTTTCTTACTGTCATCGGCGCCGTTGCGTCTGCCATTCTTCCCTGGAACTCTTCCATTTACTCAACCCTTGCGATCTGTCGGTTCATTCTTGGCATTGGCGTCGGTGGTGTGTATCCACTGTCTGCCGCAGCAGCAGCTGAGGGTGGGAGCGACCCGGTGGTGAACAACAAGCGTGTGGCGGCGGTCTTCAGCTTCCAGGGATGGGGTCAACTCGCGAGCTTCTTGATGTGCTACATCCTTCTCGAAACATCTCTTAGCCACGAGTGGACGTGGCGTGTCCTGCTTGGGCTCGGCGCTTTGCCTGGGGTGTTTGTCTTGCACGAAGCTATCACGTCCGAGGAAACGAGTACGTTCGCAGCTAGTCTCGATATTTGTTGTGCCACGACGGGAGAAATAGGAATGTTGTAGAGGCCTTCTTGAAGAGCCAACACAACCCGAACCGACTGCGCTTTTCGGCCGCCATGCGACTATATTACAAGCAATTTCTCGGGACGTCCTTGGGTTGGTTTTTGTTTGACATTACGTTCTACGGCAACATTCTCTTCACGCCGATCATTCTCGACGGTTTATACGACGGAGTGGCCACGAGCATGGTCGACATTGCCCAGTTTTCTGTCTTTACGTCCCTGATTGCGCTGCCAGGGTACGTCCGCCGCTTGATTCGACTCGTTTGTGTTTTGTTTCCAAGACTTTGTCTTTCGGGCGCTCGAGCAATTGCAGCGGTGCATCTCTTCTAAACCTACTTTGCCTGTATGTAGGTACTATTTGTCGTACTTCATGATGGGCACCATGGACTTCAAGCACATCCAGATGCAGGGATTCTTCGCCATGGCAATCTTGTTTTTGGTCATGGGGCTGTTTTACACGACTTTGCTGCCGCTCAAGACGCTGCTCTTCTGCATGTACGCTCCACACATGTCGAGTTGTGATGCAAAGTTTGATGTGTGTTGTGCTGGGAAGGTACGGGTTGACCTTTTTCTTTTCCAATTTTGGACCAAATGTCACTACGTTTTCGCTCCCGGCCGAGTTGTTCCCGTCCGATGTCCGCGTTCAATTCAATGGCATGTCGGCCGCTGCAGGCAAGCTTGGTACGATGCAAAGAGAGAGATCAACGTGGTGGCCAAGAAGTCGTCTCATCGTTGTTGTAGGCGCTGCCGTTGGGGCGTACTGGTACGGCTATATTCAAGCAACGTCCGGCGTGTCGATGGTGCTGGTTGTGTCGGGTCTCGTATCTGTCTTGGGGCTAGCCGTGACGCAGTTTCTTATTCCATCCAAGCACTATCGATAGTTGTTTGTCACTGGTTCGCTCGCTGGTCTACTTTGGTGCACTCGCCAACGTTCGCCATGGCATGTGAATACATCGAACCAGGAACGTGTCGAATGGGGGAAGGTCGAGCCCAATGGATTTGCCCAACGCGGACTCCACAGGTCGTCGTGCGCGCGGCTTTGCGATGGATGGAGGTATCGTCTCGTTGGGACTGCACCATGAGAACGAAAGGTTTCACCGCTGAGCCGCCGCGTTTGGCAATCGTGGGATTGGCACTGCCAAGTCTAGATAAGCTCCACAAGTGCAAACAATTCGAAAGTGCGCGGACCATTTGCCAGCTCGACAACAACTTGACGCGGCATTCACTCGATGCCAAACGTGAAATCGTGTCGACGGTGAGCTGAAAATCACGCTGCGACAACTGGCATGTAC